ACTCAACTTAACCCTTTTCGGGTCTCTGTATGGTGCACCACACGGCTAGTTTTGAATATTTTTTAATATTGAAAGAAAATTTTATATTTTTTAGGCAAAAATAAAGTGAGATTAATCTTTGAAATAAATATTAAACTTTTCTCATTTACTCAAACTTGTTTTATTTTAATAGTTACTATAGAAATTTCACCGTAAAATTCAAGTGTGAGATTTCCTGATACTAATGGGTTAATGTCTCAATAACTTAATAATATTATTTTTATTTTTGTAGTAACTATTCGTTAGTAAAGCGTTTCGTAACCAATGGTATCTTACATTAAGTGAATCGAATTGGAAAATTTGATAGATATATGCGAGCCATCTGATATATAAATTATATATGCAACAGCTCTTGAATTAAAGTAATTAGTAAATAATAGCTGTAATAGTATTATGTCCTTTAATTGTTTAGTATTCCATATAGTATTACGGGGATTATTTCTTCATTGTTTACAACTTTAGCTATCTTATTCAACTTGAAATTTGATGAGTTTAAAAACAAAGTAAAGAAATTTATTTAAATAATATAAAAACGTAATAAATTATTTTGTGAAAAATGTCATTTACACATTTTTAAAGCATTTCTAAGGCTGCATAGTTTTTAAGTGTAAAGAAAAATTTATAAAAATAAATATAAAAAACAAACATCTAATAATGATTGTTTTGTGTGAAGAAAATACATAGAGAAAACCACACAAATTGTTAGATTTTGTTCTAAAATCATTTCTTGAACTTAGGCAAGTTTTTAAATTTATTACCAAAAAACATCGCTAGTTTGGCAATAGTAGAGACAAATAAAATTACAAAGATGTTATGTGATAGATGAGAATAGAATAGAATTGTTGTTATCTATTGTAAGTGCAAAAAAGTCTCATCAGTCGATCGAAAACCATCGCACAGTCGATACGATATACACTGCATGACGATGTTTAATTTAACAAGAATTATTTTTGCATTCAATAAAATTTCAATATCAAGAACCTGCAAGTTAAAAATATATTATAATTTATTTAAATTAAAATAAAAAAAAAAAGAAAATAATTATGTTTTTGTATTAAATTCTTTATTACTCATACCATGCGGTGACCCAACTAGAAGGCAACCTCAAAATGTTTGTTTTGCAATATTATTACGTTGTTTGTCTTTATTTAAATTTCTCGTCACTTGTTTATTTATTTTTAATTGTAATGATTATTTTTTTATGCTAATATAATATATATATTATAAAGAGAAAGAGTATTATAGTACTACTGAGGTTTTGAACAGGAATGAGTTATAAGAAGTTCTTGGAATTATGTATGGATTTTTCTTGTATATAATAATTATCCCTTTCATCTTAATTCGCTTTATAATTAAATTTAAAATAAAAATATTTTTATTTGTAGAAGATTTTAAAGTACACTATTTTTATTTACCGACTTATAAAGCTTATATGAACACTTTAAAAATATAAAAATTAAAACATAATATAACAGGTTTAAATTAAATAATTTATATTACCATTAAATTATGTTAAAATTTTTACATTATATTTTAATCATTATTATATATATTTTAATTTATTTCAAATATGAATAAATAATATAATTGTAAATAAATAATAAATAAATTTTTTATAAAAAAATAAATAAGGAATGAATTTTATAGTAAAAAATACAAGTGTTTAATGATAGTTAAAATTAATTATATATCGTTATATACAAATATTTTATAATAATTTGTTAGCGGGCTAATTGGTCATTTAAATGGAAATAAAAAACTATAATTTATTATTTATATTTAAAAACAATTTATATTTTATCAAAATATTTTTCCGATATTTTGACCACCTCGTTTTTAAATATAAATAATAAATTATAATTTTTTATTTCTATTTAAATGATTAATTATCCTGCTAATAAATTATTATATAATATTTTTGGTCACAAATAAAAGAATATAATATTTTATTTTATATAATATAATATTTTATATTTTAATTTATTAAATATTATTTTAAATTGCATTAAAAATTTAATTTATCAAAAACATCAATTAGATGATATATGTATATAAATGTAAATTTATGTAAATAAATCATTCCTTATAAAGTAAATTAAAATATTAAAAATTTCTTTTATAATTTAAAAGTAATCTACGCATGTACATTTTTATATTGGATCTGTTAGTATATAAATACTTATAAAACACAAATTATAAAAATAAACAATATTTTTATTTAAGTAAAATGTTACAGCCCTCAGTAACAAATGGAGAAGTAATATATAATCTATTTTATTTTTAGTTTTTATTATTTAAAGATTGATGATTGTATTTTAATAATTGTACTTAAGTCAAAACCATAAGAGTTGCGATTACAATGAACTTTAGCTTGAATATATTTAATATGCACGGTTTGTCTCACAGGAAACCTTTTTATTATTATGTGAAAGAATTCCGAAAAAGTGATATTTTGGTAATTTATTTCATTCAAAATAATTTTGCATTTTAATGCAAACATTGTATGAACAATTAATATGACAATTTTAACATTCACTTAAAAGAAATGTCCTTAAAAATCGGTCATTGCCTTTTGTTGGGTTTAAAGTCATCATTAAATTTCAGTAAATATTTTACTAAAATTCATGTTAACTTTATGTCTGCTGTAAATAACTATAAAAAATTAATTAATTAATATTTTAAA